ACAGCTACAAGAATAACGAGTATGATAAACATTGCGGTCGAGTGCAGAAGTCAGTAATGAACCCTGGTAGAAATTGTGTCTTATTTAAATACATAAGAAAGAGTAGAATATTTTAGTTACCAAGACAACAAGAATAAAATTATGAAAATGAAATGAGTGTGCGTGTGCGATGACATAAAACGTGACGTGTTTTTTTTTTTAATTATCAGCCAATCGGCGTGTAATGGAGCATGCGCAGATCCTCGTGAAAATGACCCTGCCTCGAAGGCAGCAAAACATGTTTATGTGGAGAGTAGAAACTTATTTATATGTGTAAATTATAGGAATGCAACCGATATTACAAGCAAATAACGTATGTTAATTAGCACAAACTAGTGAGCTGTGGTCTTTCAAAGTTATGAAATAATGTTTTGTAACATATCTCCAGCTGACAATATATAAAATTACATTTTAAAATAATTAACTAATGAAATTAAATGAAACCAATTGAGCTTAGTTGGAAATTTTCATCAAATATTCTCACAGGTGCAAATTTATTTATAAAAGTATTTATACTTTGGGGAAAACACTTACAATGAATATTAAGAGCGTGGGTTTCTGACGTGTTAAAAAGCTTCAAATGTATAAAAGCTTAAAGGAACAGATCAAACTTACGACTGGTGATACTATTTTTTACAAAACTAGAAATGAAACGAATACTATTGTATAGGTTATAGATTTTGGAACGAACCACATAACCATGCAAACCAAGGCTAATATGTCAGTTGGAGCAATACTCAAACTGTCTTCTAAATGAGTATGTTTTACAGTGTTTAAATTTGTTCGAAATGTAGAAAAAGTAGAAACATAGATAACATTGCTAGCACGTTGATTTCATGCTACAAATATGTGCAACTTTGAACCTTGACTATTTACAGCGTGTGAATAATCTGTTAAGAAACGCTCTGAAGCACTTACTTTTAATAGATATAGGGTGTAGAATAAATGGATAAAAATAAATGTAATGACGTGGTTATTCTTGCAGTGTTATATCAAATGTTATATTCGATAAAACTCAGTGACCCAATCGTCTGAATACGAGGCATTGGAAAACAAAATTTGACAAATATTGAAGGCGAACAGACATGCAGGTGTAACCTTCAGTTGTTATTGCATGTGTATCCCGTTGTAGTTCTATGTTGGAAGTTTTAAACCTTGTAAATAGATGAATCCATTAAAACAATATGTGCATACGTGCTGTTGTGTGATATTATTAGATAATAATTACCATAATAATCCCTGTGCGCTATTTCTCCGTGCAAAATTTGACAATGTGCATTCTATTGAAATAGCCACACTTGTTCGCGCGAGTTAATAACTGTACATACAAACATACCGGTGTGACTTTTGTGTTACTCTAACCGGGCGGAGTCCGAAACGGAGAATATGGGTTTAGATCCTTGCGTCTGTGCATCCGTCACCGTCCATTGTTCATTCTCGAACATGCTTTTTGCGATTTTGTTCAGAGTAGATACAAAGATAAGTCAAACCCAATTCAAACGACAACACTCATGGTGGAGTATTTATGCATGTCGTGATTTGATTTCAAATTCGAAGTGTTTTGCTCGTTTCTAAAATTTATTTTTTTACATATTTGACTTCAATTCAGTACAAAGGCAAACAATAATTCGCTGAATGTTGTCTGCAGTTATTTTTTGTAGTCGCTACTATTTCTCTGAATTGTCTGTGTAACCAGATTGTTTTGTTTTTGTTTATATGTTATGTTCTGCACACATTTTCAGCAGTTTTAAATGTACAAATTCAGAATCACCATCATATTTATTGTCTGTAATTCTTGGGAGAGAAAGATAAGGACACACTTATATAAGTTGAAAACGATTTCATCGCTGCTGCATGAGTTATAGCACCAATCTTCTCTGTTTTCATATTTTCATGTTTTACAATTCGGTAAAAGATAACATATATTTGCATTCAATTTCCTCTACTGCAGAATGAGAATATATATAATAGCAGTCGAAAAATAATCTGAAGTCACAGTTTTGTGATATTTTAATCCTACACTAATACTACAATAACGCCATAACCAACTTCACATACATTCAACCGATCTGTACCTGATAAAAACAATTATGATTAGTGAATTTAATGAATGTTATGTGTTGTTGTTTTTTTCATTGAATACAGGGCACCTAGTGATTCAGCTTGATCATCAGGTATGTATTTATGGCGACGTTTTAGTTACTACTATTTTCCAATCCAAAATTGAACTGTTTAGGGTTAACAATGAAATGTAACGTCTCAGTTTGTACTCGTTGATCTGCGCAACAGCCAAAGTCGCCATCTTTGTTTATATGAGACCCATATATCGCATGCGTGGCGCGGCGACTACCGCCTTTTTTTTTTTGTTGTTGTACAGTCATGTCTTTGACAACATTGAACAAGCACTGAAAGTCAATTTAGTTAATTTTCTAATCACAAAAGGCCACAAGAAATCATGCAGCTTCTTCATATAACACCAACATTTAAAATGTGTTACGTATTGCGCGCCCTCTATCGCCGATGTTATTTTATTTGCGAAATACTCTACAGAGGGCGCGCGTCAATCAGCTGGTCATTCTATCAACACTTGTATTGTACATGTGTGGATGCGCTTTTTAAGTGCGGAATTTTGCAGCAGGTAATCGTTAAGGTCACATTCACTACAGGGTACAAATACACTTAATCGAATTAGTCTAGTACTATTTCAGTCTAGCAATGTTGACCGATTCTTAGATTCGGCAGATTGAAGATCATTCCCACAGATTATCCACAGTGTATCCGACACAAAACTCTCCTGTTGAAGTAGCTGCGGATCCGTAGCTCTATCTTGCGACTGACAACTGTTTTACCTTTTTCTTTATTACTTGGACGTCTTCTTTTCAAATTTTGTATTGTAAGTCGAATATACCGACGATCAAAAACGGCCCTCAGGGGGCTATGATTCCACAGCTACTGTTGAAGTATAACGGCCGAAGTTGAATGGGTCGACTATTTGAATTATTGTATAATTAATATTTCATTTTACAGAGTCTAAGCCATTTGTTATTATTTTTCCCAGCTGTCTTGATAGAGAGAAATCTCCGTGTATGCATGTAATGTTCAAGGCCAACAGATGTTGACTTGAGTTGACCCTAAGGTATTCTGGATCAGGTCACACTCAGGTCAACCCATCAGGTAAACAGACTATAAACCTCGAGCAATATTGTTTCAATGAAAAAACTAAAAACAGTGGTATCTTTTACACATGGAGGTGTTGCCACATGTAAATTACAGAGGTGTTTCTATATATATATATATATTTTGAATGGCGTTCTGTTGAATAAGATCGTGCTTAGGGACGACGTCAAAAGATCGATGTCGGATAAAAAACTTAATTCCTTTAGTTTTGTTCCAACCCCCCCCCCCCCACTGAAACTTAATTGATAAATATTGGTTATGGCGTCAGACTACATTCACCATTAAATACAAATTTATAATCAGACAGTAGTATTGGATAGCAGTTGGTTGTCGAGTGGGTGTAAAAAGATTTTACAAATGCATCTCATTTGACGCACAGATTTACACTCGAACCAACAATTTTTCTGTTTTTTTCCTTTTCGGTTATTTCTGTCCATGATTGGATAGAAAAAAAACGAACTACAAATACTCCAAGATTTTTTTGACTTCATTAAAAAATAAAATCGTTTTTGTAGGATGGAAACTTTTTGAGGTCAAAACCCCCCACCCCCAAACTAAAGGAAATAAGTTTGTTATCTGACATCGAACTTTTGACGTCGTCCCTTAGTGTACACCACAATTCAAAAATAAGTGGAAACAAATTGAGTGATTCAGTATACAACTAATATGATTTTTATATGCACTTCTATTGGATATAATTTATAATTTTCTACTGTAAAAGTGGATCCCATTGTGAGTATACGATTACATTTTTCAGCACATTGTCAAACAGATCAGTTTTTGCTCAAATTCTTCTCTCTAATAAATGGCTTTTTGGATAATCCAGTATAGAATATCAAAATATCCGAAAAATATTCATTTTACATGTTGGTACAGTTGAAATAATTAGTAGGGGGAGTCGGGAGCTAATAATCTGTGTTAGCCATTAGCCATTAGTCACATAAGCCAATGCTAAATGAAATCTAATGTGGCTAATATGATCTATATTTTATAAGCCTCATTAACTACTTAAAGACTGAAAGTACATTATTATGCATTCCTGCACTGTGACATCATTTATTTTTCATTTTGCCAAACCAGCAGGCAAATTCCTGATAACCTTTGCACTGTCTCATTATCTGCTGCAACAATGTTGTCCAATAAGTTGTTTTATCAACAGGAACACATACATTTTGTACGTGACCTTTTAATGTCAATACTGTAAAATGACTAATTTTCACTGGGTTTAAATTCAGGCATATTCAGTGGGTTTTAAATTCATGATTTTATCATTTAGTTCATGTGTTTTATGCTAAATTTTACATATTCACTGGGTTTTAATTTAGCGCATTTTCCAGTCAGCGAAATAAGCAAAATTAAAACTCAGTGAATAATTAACCCTTCTACAGTAGCATTGCCAACCAATCACTTACGGATTCACCCATTCATGCAAAATGTTAACATTTGCCACATTTTATAGCACAAGGCATGATGTAAGATAATAATGAACATTGCAGGTTACCAATATATAATACTGTAAAATAATTTATTTTAGCTGGAATTAATTTTCGCTGAATAGACTTTTTGGGTGTTTTGTATGGATTTCACTGTTTTTTGACGAGTTGAATGTAAAATATAGGGAAAAAACTATATTCGCTGGATTTTTTTTTCACGGAATCATTCCTTCAAACAAAAATAGCGAAAATTAATTCCAAGTGATAATCAAGTATTTTACAATAAAGGATTTTTAACATACATAAAAAATTACACTTATTAATGTAAATTTGAAACAATTATTGTTGTAGAAATGGACATAATAATGCGATTAAGCACGATATCAAGACACGGTGTACGACATGCAAGCAGTCAAAGCAGGCAGCGATTGGTGATTCTCGGCAGTGGATGGGCAAGTTACAGCGTACTCAAAAATATCAACAAGAAATTGTTTGATGTTGTTGTTGTGAGTCCACGCAACCACTTCCTGTTCACACCGTTACTAGCAAGCACTACTGTGGGCACGTTGGAATTCAGGTGAGTATATGATAAAATCAGGTTGCCAGTGTAGCTGTGGAATGTAATGTTTGGTTTGGTTTGTCAATTCTGTGAAATGAAAGAGAGAGGTGATTTTATAATTGACAATCACATACTTACTTTTATAGTTTAGAGCTAGGTTAATTATTTATTAACAAAACAATACTGTGAAATACTTTATTTTAGCTGGAATTAATTTTTGCTGAAAAGACTTTTTTGGTGTTTTGTATGGAATTTATTTTCACTGATTTTTGTTGAGTTGAATATGAAATATAGGAAAAAAAGTATATTCGCTGGATTTTATTTTCACTGAATCATTCCTTCAGCGAAAATTAGTTCCAAGCGGAAATAAAATATTTTACAGTATATCGAAATTATCTTCTGTGGGACAGTTTAACTTCTATGGTTAAATGAGATACACTGCATGACAAAACCACTTGTTTCTACATATGTCATGGATTGTAAGCAGTTCATATACTTTTGCTATATCCTTCACTTTATGTTGTGATGATTTTAGAACTGATAAATATGTGACCTTTTTTTTACCACATCCATCGTAGGAGTATCATTGAGCCGATTCGTAACACAGGTTTTCGTCAAACAGATCACTATCACCTATCTCATGCTGTTGGACTAGATA